TGTGTATATTGAGGCTACAATAGTAGTGATCAAAAATCTATATAGAAGGAAGGGCAAGTGAATCTACACAACGTAAGCAAACATAGTTATTGAAGGTAAGTATCAGAATTAACCGTGATCTTCCTGGCAGACAAAGGGGAAAAAATTAAAAGGCAGGGTTGCTGGGGCACAGAGTTGAATGAATGCTGGAGTGAAACGCAGCAAGTAGTGTTGGGTAGCCCAGGTGGCTACGGAAGGACCCGGAGCCAGAAAAGTCCAGTTAAGGGCTTTTATTCCAGGCGGGACACTTTTATTCTATCAGGATCAGGCAGGCTGGGTCCAAACAGACAGTCCCAAGGGAAAGTGTGGAAGGGCTTTTAAGGTGTGTAGCAGACCCCTGGGGGGAGGGTGAGTCACCCTGCGGACACTCTCCCGGTGTCCTGGGTATCTGATAAAGGGAGGGCTGATTCTGTAGAAAGCCAGGGAGAGGGCAGTGACAATTCCAGGAGTTTCCAACAGGATGTCTCCCCAGCTGTGCCTTGGTTGCTTCTGATACGGGGAACCTCCAGGTCAGGTATTTAGCCAGTGATGGTGACGTATACCTTCTTTGTTCCAGCCTAGGCGGTGTGGCTGAGGTCCACCTTCCAGTACATTCTAACATACAACTTGTTGCCTGTGGGCTTGGGGAACTCTAAACCTTCGTCAGGCCCACTCAGCAGGCTCCTGGTTTGCACTGAGCTCTGTCCCGGGCCCCTCGCTTAGGGAATCCCCGGGCCCAGGGCCACAGTCCCTTGTCAGGGCGCCTGCCTCACCTTCCTGGCTCCGAGCCCATGGTGAATGCTCCCAGGGCTTTTTCCAGTTCTAAGGTCGTCTAATTCTAGAGGAAGTTTGATCTCTCTCTCTCTCTCTCTCCCTCCCTCCCTCCCTTTAGTTCTTTCTCTCTATGTAGTTCCACTTAAAAACCTTTCTACTCTAGAGGTCAAGAGAATCCTCACCCTGTCAATTTAATGTTTCTGCTCCCTGCCCAAGTGGCATGAAATCACAGCCTGCCACCCAATATTAAAGGTCGTTTTCAATGAGTTTATGGATGGCGATGCCCAGATAACTTGTGACTTAAATCATATGATTATCAGCTCCCCTATCAGATCAGCCTCTGGATTGTCACAGGTCTGTCTGGGGAACAAGGAGGCTGAGCCCGGTCACCAGGCAGGAGACGGTGACGCCTGGTGAGCTGGCCCCTGACTCCTCGGGCTCCTGGCCAGCCTTTCCAGGGGGAGAAGATGCTCCCCAAATGGGCCGGGCAGCTGCCTCCAAAACACACGCAGCTCCTATAAGCCCAACCTGCTTAAAATTGTATTTACATGTTATGTGTTGCTGTCTTAATTACATTTTTCTTTACTAGTATTTTTATTCATTATGTAAAACAACTTTCAACAATGACCACGCAGGCATCCCTTCCTCTGTACGCAGTGGCTGTTTACCTTGCCGAGTCAGGTTCTCAGCCCCACCCGCATTCACCCACGCCCGTCCTCACAACATCGCTGTCACCAGTGTTCAGAAGTCACGGGCAAGGGCGAGACACTGGTTGGTGTTCGGCAGCTCCTGGGCAAGGAGTCGAATTCCCCTCAGGGCACTGTTCACCGTGTCCAGCACTTGTTTGGAAAGCCTGTATTACTCAGTATGCTCTCAACACACAAGTGCTCTTGTATTTTACTCTTTAACTTAGCATAATTTCATGCACGCTTTTTCATGTAGCTACACAATCTTCAGATTTATCATTTTAATGGCTGCTTAATATTCCATCCAGTTAGCATGCCATAATTTACCTAACTGTTCCTTTTGTTGGGGCCTTAATGAAAATTTGAATTCACCATGTAATGCGGGGAAAGCTTGTTTTAATGATTACCATTATAACATCCCCCGGCCTAACTGCATGCCATTACTAACCCAGCTCTGGAAGGCCCAGATGCTGTGGGAACAATAAATCCTGTGAGCGGTGCACACACGAGGCCCTCTGATTTAATAGCTAATCTGTTCGCTGGCACGTGTTTCTTTTTTAGGTTGGTATTTGTACAGAATATCCATCTCTTCTGAATATTGCATAATACCAAACTACACGCACTTAGCATGTCGTTCCAGGCACTTCATCACTGCTGTCAGGGACTTTCATAAATTAACTGGAATTGGGGGTAAACCAGGCTGTCGGCTGCCGTTCATGTATCCCACCCAGATTCATTGACTATCTGTTTGCAGCCAGACTCTGAGAGAGGGAGGGCGTTCCTGGTTATTGGGGGCCCCCAGAGGTGCGTCTGTGAATTGCTTTGTGGTGCCCGCGATTAAATGGTGATTCGCATGCAAAATGCCTTGTACACTGTGGAGTACGGTGCGTGCCTCAGTGGTTGCCGGTCCTGTTTGTGAAACAGGGTGAGGGGTAAAGTGGTTCTCCCAGGCCGGCGCCTCTCGACTGTGGTCCCTGCGTCCTCAGCCCTCAGAGTTCTCCAAAGACAGAGGCAAGGCTGTCCTTAGAATCAGGGAGGCAGCGATGTGGATGACAGTGACCTTCCAAAGCAGGTCAGATAGATAGTTTGGTAGATTTAATGATTTACAGAGTTGGCTGTGTACTTTGCGGTTGGTTTTCTCTTTCAGGTGACCCAGCACTGCCTTTTCTGGCTCTTCTCTTTTCCTCCGCCTCCCCCATAAAAAGGGAAGGCTCATCCCCCAAACTTATACACTACTCCAGGTTACTCATGGGACCCAGCAAGGCGTGCTTTGCCAAAGATGGGGCATCTCGGAGGAGAAGGATTTCAGGGGGCCTGAGAACCACATTGTGAGAAGGTTTTTTCCTTTTTCATCCTCTCTGTAAAAAAGAGAAAGTTGTTATTTGTCAAAGAAAGTCTGTCTGGTGCTTTCATGCCCAGCTTCTCCAGCGTCTGCTCATCGCCTCAGCCGAGAGAACGGCCGTGGGCGGCCTCCCGTGGGCAGTGGTGCCTCCCTAGTCGGTCTGGTCCTCCTTCCTGCTTTTTATGTTGATTAACTGTTTAGATAAGGGCTTATGGGAGGATGATAGAAAATGTGCTTTTTAAGCGATGTTTTTTCTCTAAAATGAATAAACAAATATGGAAATTAATAACCCAAGTGGTACTCAAAAAATGGCAGACTCACGAAGTCATTATGTGACTGAACGCAGTTTGGGAAATGTTCCCACAGCGTTATTGAAAGGCGACACTGAGGACCACCGGCACTGCCTCTCGGCTTCTGTTGTACTGGGGCCTGTGCACTGGTGGGCGGGGCGGGGGGTGCCCTCCCCGTGGGCTGGCCTTGGATCCGGAAGTGCAGCCTTACAGCAACGCTCTCGCTTGGAAGGGCTGTCGTCGCTCAAGTGCTCTGTCAGCTGCCCTTTAAGGCGCACGTGACTTGACCATGTCATTTCGCCATTGGAACTCTGACTTGGAGAATTGCCTCCAGTTCAAACTGTTGAATGGCACACTCTCACGACCCTCGCCTCTTTGGTGACAGCCTCCCTCCACTCTCTTGCCTCCTTGGACCCGGTACTCCAACAAAAGTGGGCAGTGAATAGACACGCAGCGGGGTATTGCCCAGCCTTACAGAGAAATGGAAATTCCGACACAAGCTACGACATGGAAGAACCTCAAAAACATTATGCCACATGAAATAAGCCAGCCACAGAAGGACAAATACAAGCTCCCCCTTATATTGAGGCCCCTACGGTATCAAATCTATAGAGACAGAAACAGCATGGTGGTTGCCAGGGGCTGGGAGACGGAGAAGTGGGGAATTGTTTGATGGACACGGAGCTTCAGTTTGGGAAGATGACAGCATTCTGGAGATGAATGGTGGTGGTGGTTGAACATACTTAGTACCACTGCATTGTACACTGAAAACGGCAAATGTTGTATGGCCGGTTACCACAGCAAAACAGAAAAGCAGGTAGTGAGCATGTTCTCGCCAGCCCAAGTGCCCTGGCTTGTTGGTCCTTCCACAGGGACTCCTGTCCTCTGCTGTTCCCGCTTGTCAGAGCTGTCTGCTCAGATGCTGTCTCTCTCCCATGTCATGGCTCACAGGCCCCACACTGAGCCCCTTCTCTGTACAGTGTTATGGCGATTTAGGTTGTTGCAGCCCTTGTGGGAACAGTGGGCTTCCTGAGAGCAGCCTCCACAGCGAACTCTGCCTTCCCTGTGTCCCCAGGTGGGGCTTGCACACAGTGGGTGTTTACGGTCAAAGCCGGTCACGTGTCCATTTGACTCAGAGGCCCCCGACTGTAGCATCCCCGCACTTCTGTTAGCCACTTGGGCCTCTCGGGAATGAGCAGCAGCTGAAACGGAGGTCACCCCTCTGCCCTCTGGAGTCGGGCCTCGGCATCCTCGCCGGGAGATACAGAGCTTTCCTTCCTCATTCAGAAATGGAACTGGACGGCTGCTTTCACATCGCTCAGATGTGCTCAGCATGTTAGAAGACAGGCAGGCTCTGGGGGAGGCAGCAACACCGGGAAGGAGTCTCTTAAAAGGGGAGAAAAACGGTGACTCTAGGTCCCCTGGGGAGGCTCCTTGGGTCTATTTAAAACGAGTGTGCAAGCTGGGTGAAAACTTGAGTGAAGGTTGCAAGGGTGGAGAGGGGCCGCGGTGGGGAAGTCTCCAGTTGTCTGTAAGGTGAGGAGCTCTATCTGCTCAGGCTGGTGCCCGAGCACACTCGAACCACGTGGGTACCTGGAGGCCCTGCCCCCGAGGCTGCAGTGAGCGAGCTGGTGGCGGCAGTGAGCCTTCTGTTTCTGTCCTCAGGTCCCAGAGCCTGATGCCTCGTGAGGAGGCCTCGCCCCGTGAGGGCAGCAGTGCTGCCTTCCAGGGTGGGAGGCACAGTGGATGCAGAAAGAGGGCTGTTCTGTGCAGTCCTTACCTCCTGGGCTGGTGGCTCTAAACTCCTGTGGGTGTCACCTGGCAGATCCCAGGAGAGGAAATGTAGGTTTCAATTCTCTTATACCTCTGCTTCCCTTTTATTGCCTGCAGAATTTCAGAGGCAGGAAAGTGTCCGGTCCCAGCACAAAGGCATCCAGTTATATGACACCCCTTACGAACCTGAGGGCCAAAGTGTCGACTCGGACTCAGAGAGTGCAGTCAGCCCCCGGCTACGGGAGAGCAAGCTGCCCCAGGACGACGACAGGCCCGCTGATGAGTACGACCAGCCGTGGGAGTGGAACCGGGTCACCATCCCAGCTCTGGCAGGTGAGGAACCAGTGGCCTTGCTCAGAGATGGCCACTCGACTTTGGTAAAGGGGGTCAGTGCACTGGTCCCTGCCCACCGAGTAAACCACAGGGCTGCCTTTGACACTCTGGTTGGGCTGGCCTTTCTTCTGGTACAGCCGAGCCCTCAGAAATGGTGAGCGTCCTGAAGGGAAGGAAGGCCTGGCCAAGGGGAAATCCGGGGTCTCAGTTGCAGTCTCCCTAGACGGCCCAGATAATCTCACTGTCTGACTCTGTCTTGGTCTGGTTGGTAATGATCTAGTTCACTGAAGCCAAGAGTCAGACTGCAGAACACAAAACCAGTCTGCAGAGAGGCTCTGCTCCTATTGGGCTGGAGGGAACCCAACGCTCCTATCTAGTTGTACAGCTGCGCGGGCCTGCGTGTGTCCAAGGCTGCTGCATTTCCTGGCTTGGCTTTAGTGTGAACCTGCTCACAGAGCGCCAGCCCTGGGCACATCCTGACCTCAGGGGCTGCCCCACCCACCCACAGCCAAGAGCCCCTGAATGACTCAGGTACCTCCCCTCCCCCTCACTCCGAGACTGGTTTTCTCCAGAACCCGGGCATCCGTCACACTACTGAAGCTCTCCCACAGCCTTTTGGAAACCAGTATGCCACATGCGTTAAGGTCCTGAGCTTCTTCACACCCTATGATTCTAATTCCAGGCCTTAGGATTCACGCCAAGGTTATGATCTGACATTCAGAAAAGGCTCATAGTTGTGAAAGATGGGGCACAGTGTGAATGTCCAGCTGGCCAGGACTGGTGGAATGGAACCTTGTGCAGCCACCAAAAAGTGCTATGGACAACCAGTTTATAACAACCTAGGGAGATGCTTGTGTTTTATGCTAAGAAGTGAAAAGCCAGGCCCTCGCTGGTGTGGCTCAGTGGATTGAGCGCAGGCCTGTGACTCAAAGGGTTGCCGGTTGATTCCCAGTCAGGGCACGTGTCTGGGTTGCGGGCCAGGTCCCCAGTTGGGATCACATGAGGGGCAACCGCACATGGATGTTTCTCTCCCTCTCTTTCTCCTTCTGCTCTCTCTAAAAAGAAATAAATGAATGAAATCTTTTATTAAGAAAAGTAAAAAGCCAGATGCAAACATTTGTATGCATTTCAAAATTTAGTCATGTGAAAAGAGACACTGAATGACTAATCTAATTCACCCTGAAGGTCATAAAGGGAGAGTTTTTATTTTTAATTTCTTTAACATCCCTATTGCCTGAAATCTCCCTTGTTCATGCACAACTGGGCCCCTGCTCCCCTTCCTGCCCCCAGCTGTGAGGCCTCTGCCCTGCCCACACCCCGACCCCTCAACGGATGTTCTGGCTGTTCCAGCACATCCTGCCCACAGTTCCCTGGATGGAGCCCTCTGGACACATCCATTCCTTCTGCCCATATGCCTGTCCCCTCCTGTATCTTATCTGGAAAAATCTGAGCCTCCTTCGGGACCCAGCCCAGACGTCGCTGTCTCTGTGAGCCTCCCCTGCCGCAGACAGCCACGCATCCCGTGGGCTTCCTCTCTGCCTCTCTGGGCCTGTCGAGCTTCCGGCACATGTCCCTGGGGAGCGTCTCTCTCACCAGGTGGAGTTTGCTCTGTAGGTGCTGGTCTCGCCCACCAGGCTGTGAGCCCTAGGCCGAGGGCCGGTAATGAGAGTGGTCATGTGGCCGAGCGGCCTTGGTCATCTCTAGCATCTCCTGTGCTTCCCTCAGCACAGGGGATTTGAGGACTGCCCCTGTCCCCTAGCATAGCTGAAAGGGTCTGTGCTCCTCCTGGATGTAAGAGGCGCTACAGTGGAGCCTGTGCTGTCTGAGAACTTACTCTTTGCAAACACCAGTTTGATTAAAAGGCTAAAGGAGCTCAGGTGACAACTCTCCCAGGTACCAAGGGCCCGTGGCGTGAGTTATCACCGCAGACAGGTGTGGGGTCTAACCCCCCACCCACCCCTGTCCTGCACTCAGCGCCTGCAGGTCACGCAGTGCTCTACCTTTGGTGCTCTAGCCTCGTCCGGTGCCTTGCTCCCCGAAATGTGGTTTCCGGACCAGCAGCTGGTGAGAAACGCAGGCTCCTGGGCCCCTCCCCAGGCCGGCAGAGGCAGACCGCGCTGACAAGGCCCCCGGTGAGTCACCTGCGCACTGAGGTGAGAAGCGCCTGCCCTGCCGGACAGCATCCCCTCGGAAGGTTCTCGTGTGGGAACATGCTCACTTCTGCCCAAAGGCAGTCTCAGAACTTCTACACACTTAGTTTTTCACAGAGGATCCCAAGGCCTCTGACAGTTTCTGAGCCACAGGTATGCATTCTGGACTTGGTTTTCCGTCAGAGTCGTGCCAGGGCTGCTGTTGCAGGTTGATAGAAGACAGACTCGGCACCATGTCCCGTCTGGGTCTCAGGGAGTCGCTTCTCTCTGTGTGCTCTGCCCGGGGGCATGTCTGGCTGTGCTTTTCCCAAGAAGCATTTGGCTCAGTTCTGATTTCTGGGGCCTGGAAGGAAAGCATATCTCTCTGGCCGGAGGCACGCCGTGAGCATGGGCCTTCAGTCTCGACTGGGTCCCACCCCGTGTCTGTGGATGGAGCCTGCCGGGCAGCCATGGTAGGTGAGGAGCGGCTCCTGTTTTCAGCCCAGAGTGGGGATGAAGTGAGAGTAGACCGGCTACCTGTCAGGGGATGAGTCTTAACAGCCCGACTGTCTTGATTACTCAAGTGCCACCACAGTCCCATTTATAAACCCCAAAGAGTGGCTGCTCGGGAATGAAGCAAGTGGTTCATGTTGTCGGGAAGCAAGGCAGTGCTTTGTGGGGGGCGGCTGTCCTCCTTGTCACAAAACCTATTCAGAATGCCCCGTACCACTTTGCTGGGCTCTTGGGAGCTCGTGGACGAGTCCTGGAAGCCTGGGGTGCAGCATCCTTCGCTGGAGAACGTCTGTGTGGGGTGAAGCTGCCTGGACAAAATTATCACCACCTCTTTTTCCACCCCTTGTATTATTCTCTGATTCTGCATGTCTAGCCTTGGTGGAGAAACATGGGCAGGGAACCTGGTTAGTGTTTTCAAATTTCCAAAGGGTATGGGGTGTGAGGGGCCCCCAAAGGGCAGAGCTGGGCCCACCGAGGAGGAGATGTGGGGATTTAGGGGCCAGGTGAGTGGTAAGAATTTCGGTTACACCTACAAGTATGTAATGAGCTTCCCTCGCTGGGAACTTGCATGCAGAAGCTCGGCCGAGGCAGGCTGATGTCTGGGGACTTTGCCAACCGTGGGAGGCCGGCCCGCAGGCACCTGCAGGGATGCTGCATCATCCCTTGGGACCCCTTGGTGCTGGTCAGAGCCCAGGAGAAGGGAAGGCCTCTGAATTACCTCCACGATTCAATCTATGAAGCAAAAGTGCTCCCTGCCTTTCAAAGTGCCATCCTGCTTTGCATTCGTGGAAAGAGGCACTTCTCAAAGGGGCACTTGGATGGTCGCCTCCGAGCTAGCCCACCTGGGCCAGCAGCTCTAGACCATCCTCTGTGGAAGTCAGACCCTTCCCATCGCAGCCAGACTCCAGGGGCTGCATGCAGCCTTGGGGAAGCTCGGTTCTCCCTCACGGCTCTCGTGGAAACAGCTATTGCAGGGTGCGAGGCAGTCCTAGCTTCTTGGCAGTGAAAGTCTTCCCTTCTTGCAGAACTCTGTGGCCAAGTGAGTGAGAAATACCACAAGCTCTCAGAAAATCCTCACTGCTTGCTCTCCCTCCAGGAAGCTGACCGTGAACCCCTACTCTCACCTCGCCGAGCCCAGCGGGTCCCATTTCACTTTTGTGACCTTTGTTGATCCCAGCCCCCAGGACAGATGCTGGTCAGGTGTCACCCGCAGGCTGTAGCCCTGCCATCCACCTGTCAGCCCCCTCCCCACTGGGCAAAGACACCTGCTTCAGAGCCGGCTGGACTCCGTTCCTGGCCTGCTTGACTCACCCCCTGGGAGTCCTCACAGCAGCAAACTCTGAGACTGGCAGGTGGGTCTAGAAATGGCTGCCTGCCCGCCCTCAGCCCCCACCAGTGCAGACCGGGGCCCACAAAAGGGTTGCTGTAGATCCCAGCCCAGCGTGGGTCAGGGAAAGCAGCCTGGGGTGACTCAATGTGGTCTTGGAGCGGCACTGGTTAATGTGGGGGGGGTCCCCGGGCTTTGTGGTACAGCTCATCAGATGGACAAATGGAGCCTGCATGGGCGGCGGCCACACAGGGAGGGGCCGAGGAGCGGGGTGGGCAGCCTGGAGAAGCAGACCCAGGCTGGGTGTGGCATGGACAGGATGTCTCCACATCTCTGAGCGGCCAGTGGGAGGACAAGGGACTGAACCTGCCCTGGATGCAGCTGTGTCCTTACCTGGAAATGTGCCCACTCCAGAGGGTCCGGTTGAGGCTTAAATGCACCACATCAGGAAAGTGCTGGCGTTTATTGAGTGGCTTGTGCACACAAGCATCCTTGCAGGTGCAACTGAAATTCTTGCTGCTCATCTGGGCCCTAAATTCCCACGTCTCCTCCTCAGTGGGCCCAGCTCTGCCCTTTGGGGATCCCTCACACCCTTTGGAAATTTGAAAACACTAACCAGGTTCCCTGCCCAGGTTTCCTCACTCAGGTTAAACATGCAGAATCAGAATTCTGTATGTGCTGTGTCATTTAGTCGTCACAGCTGTCCTCTGGGACATCAGTTTCCTGCAGTTATGGAAGCTGAGGTGCAAAGACCAGAAATAACTTGCCCAGGGGCCACTGCTAGCCAGCCACAGAGCTGAGAGTTGAACCTGCAAAGTCCACTCCAGAGCCCAAGCCCCCAACCCAGTCAACATCTGGTCACCCTGTTGCTATCCAAGATGCTGCGTAAAATATGGTCAGAGCCCTCCTCCTCCCAGAGCCCATGGGAAATGTCACGTGCCTTTCATCAGCCTTGACCAAGTTCTCCTTACGTAGACAGCTGGTAGGATGTGATACTGGGCCTGTGTTCCCATTCAGAAGGGTTCCCTCTG